AACGGAGTATATGTATTATTGTATAAAGCATGGCTACTCTGCGCGAAATTCAAAATAGTTCCACTCAAATTAATTTCTCTTTAACAGTTGGAGCTTTATGATACGCTTTTACTAACGCAATTGATGTCAAAGGTTAAAGCTGCTTACTTTAAACATTATTCATAAGTATTATTACAAGTCAGATTTCATCATCGTGCTTGTATGAATAAATGATTCACCTAGCAGATGAAAGATCTTCATGGTTAATAGAGTTGTGGAAATACAAGGCATATGCGATCATCAAGCATGGCGTTACATGATACATAATAATTCGGCCGATTGTATATCTCGTAGTGCGGGTTCTCAATCTCTACAATCATTCTTCTGTGATGGTCCACGTGATTAGCAGCAAGTACTAATGAGTGACCTGTTTCAGAGAATAAATCGACAACTATAGAATATAAAAATTGTCTTAACGAGTTGTTAACAAGAAAACAATTTATTGCAAAAGTATATGAATATGTATGTATATCTGCTTCAGATTATAGCTTTATATTAGATTTAATAATTCATGCATAAAAACGAATAGAGATTCGAAAAATCAGAGAGAATTTAGAAATTTGACTATTGCCGAGTTGATGCAAGCTCGTAAAATGTATTAAAACGTCTTCAGAAAACCTTTTCAGCCGAGTTATTATGTCTAAGAACAGGCAAAACTAATAAATGCTAAAATCTAATAAATTATTTCCATTGTGTATATTTTTTACAATTTTTTAAACAAAGATAGAATTATAAGAGTAAATTGCGAAACGCACCCACAATTTCAGAAAAGACCTGTAGCACTTTCCAAGCACTCATTTACAGAAATCATAATAAGAAACGAATATTAGATTATTACATGCGGGATGCCAATAGACAATAGTATCATTGCGGAAGCAATATTGACCCATGCTAATTCTCGATCAAAAAAATCGTAGAAAAATATATAAAGTATTTTCAGACAAAACCACGATCCTTAAAATGCGTAATGGGTCAGTTATTTGCAATTCGAATAACGCCGGTTTGGCCATTTTCTACATGCGGTACTACGCGGATTCGTTTCTAATATGTGAAAGAATCTATAGCAATATCGTAATGAAATCTTATTTATATATTATTGTATGGATGGCAGTCCGTGCTAACATCATAAATGGCGGTCCAAGAAGACGGCAGCATTAATGTAACTCCGTCAAATGAACTTTTTGAGAGGGCAACAAGGACATCCGTCCTCTCCGGGAACTCCAATAAAGCAAAGCGCATAGAGTACCGGAGGTATTCGTAAAGAATTTCCAGTATTTTCCGGAAGTGGCAATGGAAGATCACCGTGGAGTGTTTTAGCCAATAAAAATCCGGCATTATTCAGGCCTTTCCCTTTCTCAAAAGATCTATGAGAATTTCCCCTACATTAAAAAAAAAAAAAACAAGTTCGTGTCAAAAAAAATCACTTCTATCAATTATGTTACAATTTTAATAACTCTAATGTTATGATTCAAAATTGATATAATCCAAATATAATATAATATAGTCCAAATATAATATAATAATATTTGCTATTTTCTGTATTTTTTATTATATTCTCTAAGTATTTTTTAAAAATGAATAACTTTAATAAAAAAATTTTAATAACTTTTTTTGAAAATCTGAGTCACAAATTTATATCAAGAAGTAACTTTAATACTAAATAAGATATGCAATAGAATAATAGAATCATCACTTTAAAAGATAGATTACTGTTCAAAAATATTTTATCAAATGACTTAAACAATTTCAGTGAATTCATATATTAACTTACAAATAAATTATTCGATTTGTTGGATTTCTTTGATTTAAAAATATCTTTGATATGTCCGAGATATATCTAAATTTAATTTCTTTTTAGAGCTTCGATCATCAGTTTTACAATTATCAATTTTATTATTCATTAACTATCTCAATTCATAATAAATTCACAAATTGATTTTTATGAAATTTTTTAATATGATATTAATGATCAATGATGATATTAAAAAACAACGAAAATATAGATGCTATAGTTGACTCACAATATAATAATAAATTCTTTTTCTCCTAAGCTAGAATATATAATTTAAATATTATGAATGTTATAAAAAAAAAATCAAAGAAAAAAATTAAGTTATGGCAAATATTCTGAAGTGAATTCAAAAAATCTTTTCAAAAATAATTAAAGAATTTATCTCCTAAATTCAATATTAATTACTCTTTGGAGAGTTGTCAAAAGACTAGTCAAACAAAATTTTTCTTTCCTCTTCATTTTCCACATTATAGTTAAGCATGGAATCCTACAGATAATCTCATTCGCTTCTTATTTATTATATTCAAACCAAAATATTTGAATATATTTCAAATCACTATCAAGCCTTTTTTATCAAATTTTTTTTCCAATTAAAAAAATGATTATATAAATCTAAATTTCTAAAAAAAAAAGGCTCCAAGACAATAAATGATAAAATGATCAAAGAGCTAAAATTAATCTAATCTAACAAAAAAAACAATAATATTCATTTTTAATACCATTTTTCTTACTTATATCCATTCTTATGGAAACTATTAGTTATTGTATTCATTCGTAAATTAGAAAAATTTCTATTCAAAAAATCTTATCAGTCTTTTACCAAGTCTATTCAAACTTTACTTTTAAAAAAAAATGCTAAATAAGCTGCCTATTATATTAGAAGAAACAATGATCATTACAAATCAATTTAAATTTCAGAAACGACATTCAATAATAAAACAAGTATATCAAATTATATATAACATTAGTCGAGAATTGGAAAAAAGAAAAAAAATACTGCTCAACAATATTCCTGAACATAAAATATTGGTATATAAAGATATATGCTAGATTATTATATTCAAATTCAAAAAGATATTGTATGGTCTCTATTTAATTATACATTATTATTTAAATAACAGAAAATTTTTACATGTAACAATTACAGTTTTTCCTATTGAAGCTAATGTATTACAATAATATATTACAGTATTTGTTTTTGAATCATTCTCATATTCTATCTGTATGTTTCGACATATCAACTACAAGTAATTCTATTATAACTCTGCAGCTAAAGATCCCCAAATAGCTTTTACAATTCTTCAAGAATATCTAAATAACATTATAGCAATAGTGGCATATCAACATAAATAAAAACAAATTTAATATGTTATTTTCATTTTATATAAACATATCCTTAAATAATACTAAACAATACAAAAATCCCAATTAAATCTCATTTAAAAATGATACTGATGATTACAAATAATACTTAAAATCTTAAAAATTCTATTAAACCAAAGATTAATTTGAAAACATCATATCAAGACTAAATTTTTTTAAAAATTTTATTTTTTAAAAATAAAATAAATTCTATTGATTCCTAAATAAATTTTAAACTTTAAAAAAATAAACTCACTTTATAAAGCCAATTAAAAAATTTGTATCGATTTCAATTGTAGAATATAATCAATTTTTATTTTAATATTGAGATCCTTCAATGATTTCAATCCAAATCTATGATAATCAATGAACTCATGTACAAGGATCTAAAAATATCTAAGAAGAAATTAAATGTTGAACCAATTATGCTAATTCTTTACTTTCATAGCTTTTTAATAGATCAAATTATCTTTGAAAAAAACATTATACATTCAACTAAAAAAGAAAAAAAAATACTATATTTATGTTTATTACAATGTAGTAATTCTATTTTAAGATTATATCTCATGCTATAATGCAACATTATAATTATTAAAAATTTTCTGTGAAAATTAGTTTTTATTAATATTTTTATTATTATTATAAAAAAAAGAATTAATGAATATTTGAAGAATGAAAATACACAAGTTTTTTTTTATATATTATTAGATTTGTTAACAGATATATCACAATATATTTGCTTATCAATTATGATTTTAGCATAATAATTGTCCTACATATTATGTAAAATAATCACGATTATCTTTGATTATAACAGAATTCAATGAATTGATTGCAATAAATAATTTTTATGATTATTCTGTTCATGACTAACATTTTACTATGTTAGTTATTTTAATTATTAGATTTAAGACATATGAAAATCAATACATTTTTATTCAGATTTTGATAATCTAGCAATTTATGATATGAAAAGTAGATTGTTCTATTTAAAAAAATCAAATTAAAAATCATTTCATTTAAAAGATGATCTCGAAATCTCTGAAATAACTCACAAAAAAATACATACTTTATTTTCTTTAAAACCATATCCTTAAAATTTCATATCTTAATATTCTCATAAAGTTTACTTTAATAGTTTTCAAAATAATTCAAAATAATCAAATTAGATATTATATATAATATTTCGCTCTTATGCACAAATATATTAGCTGGCCAAATCTTAAACATTTATAACATTATTTTATTGCTTCTATAAGACTAATATTTAATTATATATGTCTACATTCAATTAGTAATCTTAATGTTAATAAATTTTAATATTTTATTATATTAATATATTTATATTTTAATATAATTTTTTTTATTCATATACAGTCTTGTTATTTCTAATTTGTCTTCTTTTCAATGCATCTAATGCATATAGCTTTTGATTAGATTTATCTAGTTTTCAAATTTCTTAATAAATTCTTCCTAATCCCAAATTATATGATAATATTTTTTCTTTCTCCTTTTCTTTTAAATATGTACTGAATTGTCCATTATCTTTATTCATTTCTTAGTTTTATTTGTCTCCATTTTTGTGATCTTTACTTTTAAAATTTCTCATTATTTTTTTATTATCTCTTTATATATTTTTATTATTTTCCAACTTATGTCAATATCCTTCAAGATTTATATTCCATTTCTTTGAATTGTTAAGAATGAAAATCATTGAGCATGTTGTTATTTTTTTATTTATACTTTCATGATTATTGCGTTCAAATTTTTATATTTACTCATCTTTCTTTGTACTCTTTCTTATAGCTTCTTTCATTCTTTATTTTTTTTTTTTTTCTATATATATTTATATTATTTTATTTTTCCATTTTCTGTTTTTAATTATTTAACATCTTCATGTTTGAATGATATCTATTCCTATAACAAATTTATAAGAAAATTTAGTTTTAATTTAAATTTGAGAACTGAGAATAGTGTTCATAGAATGCTAATCTGCTCTATTCATCAAAATGTACAAGAGATTCAAAATAAAACTTGGAATTTTTGTTGTTTAATACTTTTCATTTATAAGAATACTCCAAAATTTACAAATTTTTTGATTCAGAATCAATCAAGTATCTATCAATTAATATTTTTTTTCTTCGGTATCTCTTATTAATCGTGAATCTCTCTTATCCTTCTTTTGAGTCATTATAATAAGTGGATTGAATTTTATTCAGTTTTCCTTTGATATTTTTTTTTTAATCTTAATCCATTCCTAGTGTATACAAATGAAAAAAAAACATGACATAGTGCATATTTACAAAGGAAAGTGCGTCAATAATTTTTAAAAAAATTATGATTTTCTTAGAATATATGAAATATACATAAAAATATAAAATAAGATAAATATTTATAAAAAAATATCACCTTTTGATCTCAATGATTTTTTAATATATTATTACGATCATCATGCTGAATAATATTATAAATTTTTTATTTATCAATCGTTCTTTACTAAAAAATTATTAATATAAAAAGGAAACCATATTCAATAATTTTGAAAATTGTTAAAATCATCACTTTGAATTTTTTTTTATATATATAATAAACAAACTTTTTTAATTTTTGAGATATTTACTGCTATTATATATACAAGCATTTCTTAAGGTTTTCTTTTAAATTAAAAATAAATATTCATATATTATGAACATATATATATTATAGAAATGTATTTTATTCTCTTAGTTTTATTTCCACCATATAAAAAAATTTAGCCTAATTTACTTCTGAAAAAAATTAAAATAGAACTTGGATTAAGTTAAATTTTTATAGAATAGAAAAAAGAATCCATCATTGCATATAGTATATGTTGAAAATATATAAATATTGTATATTGTATATTGTAAAAAATGAATTATATGAAGAAATATGAAGAAATTTTCAAAATTTTAAATATTTTTCAAGTATTTTCAAGCTATTTTATTAATTTCGATTGTTATTTATAAAATACATAATTATTAAAATGTTATTAATATTATTAAATATTATAATATTATTAATATTATTAAAATGTTATTAATAATCATTAATAATAATATAAAAAATGAAAAAAATTCTCACAAATTCAACAATATATTTTTATATCACAAACATTTTATTCTTTTATAAATAATATTTTTTTTGTATAAATGCTTAATAAATAAACTCATATCTTGTTATCAAAACAAAAAATTCATAGAATTTCATTTTAAAATGACAAAATATATATGTGTATATATATATATATTATATAACATTCAAATACAATGATCTGTTGATTATATATTGATTATCAATTATTGATTACTTCATCTTTTTTGTTGAGAAGTCATAAAAAGTCAATCTCAAAATCAATAAGAAATGTAGAAACATAGCATAAAATTCAATAAAAAAAAGTGCATTAAATTTTCTATACATTCTATTAAATATAAATGATATTCTAAAAATTATGTATTTATTCCTAAATTTATATATCTTTTTTGATCATAATTCTTCAACAATGGTAACTAAAATTTTCATAACATTATTCATGATGATAATCTTAACAACATATTAGAAGATCATGAAAATCAATGGTATTTTTTTATAATAATTATCCAAAATAAAACATGTTGAGAGGCTTAACTATTTTCTAGATTATATATACTTTATATATATTATTTTATATATACTTTAATCAAAAACTAAGCTAATTTGACTTAGTTCATAAATTATCTTTAAAAATTTCTTGATTAATTAAATTCTTAAATTATGTTTATCTATTATTTCAACTTTTCTTTTTTTGTCATTCATGATGGATATTTAAACAATATACAATATACTTTGTACTCATATTTGTTCGGCAGAAACATTTACTTTCTATTTATTTATTGATGTTGAAACTATATTTATAGAATTGATTTATAATATTATTAAAATCCAATTCACACGAAAGTATAATATTCCTCTATTTGCTTCTCATTAACTTGCTTTTTTTTCTCAAGCATTCCTCTTCAATTTTTATTGATATACCTTTTTCTCTTCTTGTTCTTCAGTATTAGTCTTAAGTATTATATTTTATTATGTATTTTTATTATTATTTAAATAGTATTATAGATAGTATTACTTTTAATATACAAATAGTTTTTTAATGTAATTTCTGATTTTCTTCTTTTTCTTTTTTTTTCTTTTTTTTTTTTATTTTTTATTCTTTCTTTTCCTATCTCTATTTTATCTCTCAATTTCTTTTTCGTACTTCACTTGCTACTAAAATAATATATTCAATATCCATTTATTCATTTACTTTATTTTGTTTTATTATTTTGAAAGCTTTCTTATTTTTGTCCATCTTCTTATTTATCTTTTATCATCTATCAAAATTTTATTTACACATACACATATGTTTATATGTTACATGTACATATATTTTTTTCACTGTATTCAGTTCATTCTTATATTTTTTTTCTCTATTCTAACTTCTCTTACACTATCTTCAGCTCATTTTATCTTCTTTTTAAAAAAAATATATATATATTTCAGAGATTGGTATACTCATTATTATTTTTTAAATCTGTAAGAAAATAAAAATAATTTAACAATAACAATAACAAAAATAATTACAATAATAAATAAAAAGATAAATACAATTTTAGATAGCTTAAAAAAAGAAACTTGTCCACAAATTTAACATATTATGAAAATCAAAATTATAATTAAACTTTATTTTATAGTGTCAAAAATTATTAATTTTCTTTTGTATTTTTTATAATAGTTTTTAACGAATAAAATCCAAATATATTAATTTTAAGTTTAAGAATCTATCAATTCAAAACTTATTTCTATATAAAATTATCGATTTTATAAATTGATAATATACTATACTTGATAAATTGAATATTTCATAAATTATTAAAACATCATACTAATTTATATCTAATCTGTTCAATAAATAGTTTGCAAATAGATAAAGCCATTTAGAAGCGATAAATCAAATTTCGATTGCATGTATTATACATCTTTTATTTTTTTGATTAATTCACATAATAAAATATATATATTCGTATAATAATATAATTATTTATACAATATTGAATCGATTCAATAAAAATAATTTATTATTTAAAATTTATTACAGTAATCAATTTATTTATAATAATCATTGTTAGATTTTGTTACTTACGATAAAAAAAAAATTTATCAATTTTTCAATTTTGAAGATATTATTTAATAAATTTAAATAATGATCATCACACGATTTCACTCATTGAACAAACATAAATCAATATGGTGTTCTAATAATTTGTCAAATAAAAAAGCACCAATGCATTTCTAAACTTAATTTTATGTTAATGAATTAATATTTTTGAATTCTATAAATCAAAAACTAGAAATAAAAAAAAGTTAATAATTTTATTCTCAAATAAAGTTCAATCAAAAATTATTGTTTATTCTTTTAAATAGAATTGTATAGTAATAAAAATTATGTTAACATAAGTAGAAACAAAATAACGATTATGACAATTGTGTAGGAAATATCAAAACATTTCCCATCCTTTAATTCATTCATTTAATTCATGCCAAAAATATCGATATTAAAATATCGAGTATGCACTTCGATTTGTTTCTATATTCAGTTGCTGCTTCAAAAATGCCAAAAGAATATTCACTTCGATACAAATTACATCGCAATTTTCTTTGCTCACATATAGTAAATATATTCATAAAATTTGCTGATTTCTTAAAGTATGTATATTATGTGTTTAACTTATAGTAGAAAACTTTTCAATTAATAATTTTATAATGAATTTATGATAATAGCCTATGACTTATGTTCGCAATCAAAATGGCGTAACATCTTAAACTTAGACCATATATACAATACTGTGAATAATTATAAACTTATCCATATTTTTCTAATTTTCATCAGAAAGAACAAAGATAGAAAAATATATACTTATATACTTTCAAAATATCACATACAAAAAAAATAAGAAAAAAATGTTCTTAAATCTGAAAAAAAGAAGAATATCCTTTAAAAATTACATTTTGTAAAAAAATATAAACTTGATATGTAATTTTAACATTTTTATATTCTATTAATTTTTCTTTATTTTTTATTATTTGTGATAAACAATAAAAAAACACTAATAATCAATGTATTTTCTTCTGTCATCTCTGTTCAAATAAATTCTATTCATTTTTTAACTTTAATAACATTATTAATTTGTTTTTAATCATAAATTGTTTTATCAGAATATAAAATTAAATATTAATTAGATATTAATATAATAATATTAAATTTAAGATTTAATGCTAGCATGATAATAAATTAGTTTCAAATTCTTTAAATCACATTAATATTCCATTGATAAAATATTTAAAAAAAAATCTTTGTATCATTTATCAATGTAATAAATAACAATAAATAATTATATAATAATAATAATGAGTTAAATTGAATATATAAGTTGAGTTTAATATGAAATATAGGAATATCCTAAGAAAGTAATTTTTGTTGAAATATTTAGAAAATATATCAAATATTTTTATGAAAACTAATATTGTAAAAACATCACATTGATACTAGACTAAAAATGTAGAAAAAAAATATAAAAAGCATATAGAGATTTTACAATGAAAAATGAAAAAAAATTTAATTGAATAAATCTGATACTTATAATAAATATTAGTATAATCTAATAGTAAAATTCGATCAAAATTAATAATCTAAAGAAATAAGAAAAAATCATATTCTAAAAATTTTTAATATTTAATTTTCCAAATATTGTAATTTTTTATTTTTTTTATTTTTTATAAAATTGATATATACAAATTAAATTGATTCATTAAATTAATACAATTGTATTTATTATAATAATAAAATATAATGATGACAAAAGAAAATCTAAATAACTTATTACAAATATTCCTAGTTATTTATTACAAAAGACCAAAACTAAAATAAAAATTGATAAAATACTAAACATAAAAATATTAAAATATTAAAATATTAAATTACATTGAGTTTATATTTTTTTCACAATTTAAAATAAATTTTAAGAAAACATTTTTTTTTCTCAGATTTATGGGAAAAAAATTTTATTTTTTGTTTCCTAATTTTTCTTCTATATATTTATGGAAACTTTTTTTTCAATTTTTATTTTCTTCTTATGAAAATTATAAAAATATGGATAAATTTATAATTATTGTATTTATAAACATGGCTTCAGATAATTGCATGAAGATAAAATCATTTACGTGACATCACATATGAGTAAAATAATGATCGAAAATTTTGTGTACTCTCAAAATAATATATAAATATTTATATTTTTATTTATATATAATATCCAATTTAATTTTTAATTATTAATTGTTCAATCTGAAATATATATTTTATTTTATTTTAATATATGCTTAAAATATTTTATAATTCTTTCTCATTTTTAATCTTATAATTTTATATAATTTTAACATTGTAATATATATCTTGAAAATTATAATTTCAAAAAAAAAATTAAATTTTAATAGAAATATTGATATTCAATTTGTAATTTGTTATAACTAATTTTAATTTAAAAAAAAATAATAAAGAACAGTATTAAACTATTATAATAAAATTATTATACTTTTTATAATTATTGATTGCAAAATAAAATAGTTTTGATAAATTTACTTCTTATATAGAGATTTCAGGATAAGATATGATAATATAAATCTTTAACATAATTATATGCTTTGGATGAATAAAATTTTAAAGTAATTATAAAGCTTTTTAGTTTATCAGGATAATGCTTTTGTCATTCTTTGTATTTCTTCATATAACATATTTGCAATAACAACAATTATTAATAATTATTAAAAAATTTTTCACAGAAATGAACTCTGATATGTAATTTATATAGCTGCTTGTAATGTTTGATACAATATTTATTATTTTGAATTTTTTTTTGATATCACATTTTTCTTGTTATTTTGCTTTAATTTAATTCATGGATTTTTATACATAGGCCATATTTATAAATATATGGTTTAAAGTTTATATACAAACAACTAATATTATAAGTATTATAAATTTCGAATCAAAATCCGAAATGTCTATAACTTAATTTTAAACAAATTACATTAATATTTGTAAAATTTCAGGTTATGACTAAATAAAACAAACTGTCAAAGTAATAATAGACAAAAAAATATGCAAACTTATCCTTTATCCTTTTCCTTGTATTTAATCATTTCGCGAGTATTAAGTTTGAGTTTGGTTAGATTTTAATTTCAATCCATTGTAAAGTATAAAAAAAATATATAAAGTTTTAATCTTTAATTCTTGTCATAGAATTCTTTCATTCTTTCACACTTAATATTGTATACATGTAATATAGTAATTTATATAGTTATTAAATAATTAATAAAAAATATATATTTTTTTTGGTAAAACAATTTTAATTTAAATATATTTTCTTTACAAAAGAATATTTTTCCATTATAATTGATAAAAAAGAATTTTTTTTTAAGAAATTAAAGAAATTAGTTTTAAAAAGAAAGATAATTTAAATTTGATACGCACTGATATTTTAACCAATCAAATTGATTGTAAAAATTCAGTATCATTATTTAACTTGCAAAAATCCCCCAAATTCACAAATTTGTATTCAAATAATTCTTGAACTATTTAATAAAGATAATCATTTTTAGATTTTATAATTAACTATCAAAATTTATAAAAACATTAAAAAAAATTTTAATACCTTTAAAATTTTAAAATTTAACTAATAAAAGTTTATGAAAAATATTTACATATATATTCTTATTTTAAATTTATTTTATTATTAAATATATTGTATATTAAATATACAATATTTCAAATACTTTTCAATACTTTTTAATAAGTTTATAATTAAATATAGTTTATATTATTTTATGAATTAATCCTTTTATATTTATTATAAATTTTAATTTTTATTAAAAATTAAAATTAATTGCTATTGTTATTATTGTCAAAACATTTTTTTTAAATCGTAATTTTGGCATATCAATTGACATTTATTAACATTTATATTTTTTAATCATAATCATTAAATATTTTTTTAAAAATATATAAATTTGATAAATTTAAATATAATGAAATATAATAATTCTATATAAAGAAATATAGTAATAATATAAATAAGTTTTAATTGCAATGTATAATCTGCAATGTACATTATCAATGGAGTAACGTAAGATCATATTTTTTGGGTATGGAATAGCGCTTGTAAAATACAATATGTCTACCTCTCAAAAGAAGAGCTTGTTAATTAATCATTTTTTGGATTCCTTATATAAAATTGTTAATTACATGGAAATTCCATTTTAATTTAGTGATTTTTTTAATTATTTGACATGTAAAATGAGTTTTTCCGTGAAAAAAACAGGTGGTAGAATGTGGCATGAAGCGCGAAAGCAGGAAAAAAAAAATTCGTGGAATGCTAGTAGATTATCGTCGTAGAGCTGAACGTCGACGAGATTATTATGAAAAAATTGTAAGAAATTAAATTGATTAATGATTTTTACATAAATTTTACATAAATTACTAATTAATATTAAATTTATTTATATTTAAATCTAAACTTTTTTTTAATTTTTAACCTAAATTCATTTCTAACTCATTCATTACAGTTTCTTAAATTATCAATAATATATATATAAAATATAAATTAAATAATTTGCACAATTCTAACTATATTTTTTTCTTTTGCTATATATTTTATATATATATATATGTATATATATATAAATTAATTACAAATGCATACTTTTTTGATTCTCTTATGTATTTTATTTTTATACATTTATATTTTTCGTAGAAATCAGATCCTACACAATTTCTACAACTTCATGGAAGACCTTGCAAAATACATTTGGATCCAGCAATTGCTACAGCTGGTGATAGTCCTGCAAATATGTAAGTAAATATAGTATAATTAATAATATTAATATGCAATTAGTAATATTAATTGTAATATATAAAATGTTAATATATTTATAGGACAGTTATAAATTAATTCTAAAATTCAAAATAAATACAAAAGTTAATATATAAAGATATATAATATATAATATATAAAGATATTGATTACTTATTTATTTATTATTTATTAAATTATAAACTATAATTGTTTAAATTTATGTTAGATAAAGAAAGACAGAGATAGCAAGATGGATTATGAAATAGATAATGGGATATTTTACTCTATCTGTTTCTCATTTTATCTAATATAAACTTCAATTGCTTATAATTTATTAAATAAATCTCCATTGATATTTTTGTATATCATTTTTGTTATTTTGGCTTTTAGAATTAATCCCTCAAAAATATCTTATGAATATTTATATATATTATTAAATCTATCATCTAAATATTATTCCTTCAATGATTCAAATATCAAAGTTGTTTTTTTAATTCATTTTTTTTTCTAATACATGAATTCATTATTCTCTATAAAAGATATAATTATAGCAAAAAATTATTGATTTAAGAGATATTTTAATTTTAATATTGCAAAATAATATTAATATTTATCTATTATCTATTTATTTATCTATTTTATTTTCTTAACAATATCTTTTTATTATTATTTCAAGTATGATTTTATTAAAAAATTTGTAAAATAAATTTTCATTTTATATTATTACTTTAGATATTTTTGAAATTTTTTTTAGAATAATCTCAGAACAAAAATGAAAAAAAAAAACATATTGTTAATCAAAAATATATTGAATATTTAAAATTCAAAATCATTATTGTTATGTTATATTTTACAATAAAATTATTTCACATTATTTTACATTCAAATTCAAATTCATTATTTTTATGTCATATTTTAAATTTTATGAAATTATACATAAGAAATGATATTATTAATAGATTCAAGATAACATTGTGCTATATTATTTTATATTATATAATTTTAAAATGATTATAATTAATATATAAAGAAGCAATATTTTTTTATATTCATATATATTTAAATAGTAGAACTTTGTGATATTTAGATCAAATTTTGAAAAATATATGTAGTCAAGTAAATTATTGACTTAACAAAGATCAACCATGAATGTATTAATTTTAAAATAAATTCTATATATAATTTCATAGATAGTAAGATTAAGTTAACTTGCATATTTATTGCATAATATTTATTGCAATATATTAAAATATTGAAGATTATAAATTATTTGAAAGACATATTTTATGTATTAAAAATAAATATTAAATAATATAATTAAATATAAATTATGTTAAAAAATGAAGTATTATAATAATAAAATATAAATAAGTAAAAAATTATTTTATAATTTGAAATTATTTTATATATAATTTTATATATATTATATATATTATATTAATAGGATGCCATGGCAAGGGAATGAAGATAATCTTATTGATCGATTTGATGTTCGTGCTCATCTTGATTGGATACCAGAAGCACCAGATTCTATTGATGTAGATATTGCTCTCACTAGTGAAGACAGACATATCAATTATGAACGTTACCGAATCATTGTTCAAAATGAATTTTTAGGAGGTAGAAAATTGCATTTATTTAAAACTTACATTTTATTATTATTTTAAATTGTTTGATAAAAATCTTCAATATAGTAACGGAAGAAAAATTTTTACATCAAATACATTTGGAAGAACAGTTCGGTTCATCAACAAAATTAGATGCTGCTAGAGATAAGAAAAAATCATGTAATAATGTAGCTATTGGATATAATTATGAAACAGAAGAACCAATATCTGAAACTGTAAAATCATTGGATATTGTTATATCTGATGAAAAAGCAGATGATGAAGATAGTGATATTGATTTAGGTAAAGTTATATTTTATAATTGTTATATACTATATAATATATTGTATAATATAAACATAAATTTAATTTTTCTTTTTAGATATTTGTGTAGATGTATCTCAAATAGAGCCCTCACAAGCACATGAAATGAATTTAGTAGCTCAGAAATATGGGCTTTTGGGCGCTGATTATTTTAGTTTCTTAACACAAGATTTTGAAGAAGCTGAAACATTAAGACAAGCACGTAAACAAGAAGAAGAAAAAGCTATGTATTCGGTAAAATACTTTATAATTTTGCATTTTATAAAATTATATTTATAAAATTATATATATTTATTTTTATATATATTATATCATCATAATCATTAATTATATTATATTAATACATATTATAATAAAATTAATGATTTTGATTATATATTGATATATTATATATTAATTATATATATAGAGTGAAATTTTTAACTTTATCATTTAAAATAGGAGTATCTTGCTAGCTATTATAGTTATTTTTTTTCGGATTGTTAAAATCAGATAGAGAAAAAATTCTCTTCTATTCTCATTTTCAATTGCAAAATGAATCTTACCATAAGACTATACTATAAAAGTAACTATAAGACTAGTTACTATTATAAATAAATATACAAATATAAAAATTTTGCAACAAATTATTAAGAGTATATATATATTTATATAATTATCATCATATTTATATCCAATATATATAATCAGTTTATATCCAATATATATAATAATTATTAGACTATTTATAAAATTGATCAATTGATTCAGAGAAAAAATGTAATTCCTGAAGTAATTCAAATAAGGAATTAGATGATCAAGAATCAATTATCTACAAAAAATTTGACATCTCTAATTTAAAATATCTCATTTCTTTTAGTCAATATTAAAATATTTTTTAGATAAAAATTAAACGATTTAAAGGGAACTGTTATTAATTTTCTTGCAAACAGATATGTACATAACAATAGATATGTATATAAAAGATATATGAAAATCAATTTTATTTTTTAAATGGAATTATATTAATCCTTTGCACTTGTATATCACTATCCTATATTTTATTATTATAAATATATTATAAATATAAATATATTTATGTTAGTATTACATTCTAGAAACTCTTGTTACAATGTTTTCTTTTAGTTTCTGCTTAAATGTGTGTATATATATAAAATAAAATAAATAAATAAAAGATATATATATTATAATAAAATTATAATAATAACATATATGTGTAATATATATAAATATATATTATGTAATATATACACATATTATATAGATTTTTACTGATTAAGAGATTAAGATGCAGATAAAATTTATTTTATATATATTTATATATATAATTATATTTATATATATATTTATATATTTTATTTTTCAAATTTTTTTTTCTAAAACGACAAGTTAACTTATAATATATTCCCATAAAAATGTTTTCATTTTGATTGAATATGAAAATTCCGAATTGATTGGTAACCTTCTTTACATGTTC